GGATAACGCGTAAGGGTGCTAGATCATTAATATTTAGAGAAAGTATGTCTTACAGGTAAATATTACCTGTACGGGTGATATTTTGGTAAACTCTCCGTAAAGGTTGGGGAGGGGCCACTTAGAGCAAACGGGTGAGGGTGGTGGGGTCCATCTGCTGGTCAATTAATCCATCACAACCGTCAAATGCACGGCGGCTCCGGGGACGACCAGATGGAAACCAGTGGGTCCTTTTTATCGTTGTTTTACGTGGAATATGTTGCCCAATTCCCGCTCACTTTAGAAGCCCGCCGTGTCGTTTTCTTTCGCGGTGGAAAAAAAAAAGGAAAAAGAAAATGTGAAAATGAAAACCAGGTGGGAAATTTGACTATACTATATCGCCACCCTATCGCCACCGTGACGCACCGAAAGGATAATGTTCAGTATTTTTGTTTATCTGGTCGGTTTACTTACAACAATGATTTAAAAACCGGATCGAGTTAATGTGATTTGACATGGACAGTTGGACACTATGAGCATTCAAATCCTAGTCTTTTAATCCATTTATTAAAATTTACTATTGATTTAATGATTTAGTTTAAAAACTTTATCTAATTCCTTAAAAAAATTAATTATAAAATAAATGTCTAGGATTATATTGTTTCTCATGTAGTATCCAAAATAATTTTTAATCATTAAGGTGTCTAACGTTATTAATGTTAACATTTTAGATGTTCGAACCATAATTATCATTAATTTTCTCTATTAAGTGACACGTATCATGTTCCGATAATTTTGAAATTTTAAAAAATATTATTATATTTATAAATCCTTAACTCAAACTCGTCGACGTCGTCCTTTTTAGCCATGGTCACCATCTTCGACATAGTCTCTGTCATCTTTTTATTCATACACTGTCATAGTTGTCATCGATTGACCATCAAGATCACTTGGGGTCGCGATTTTTATTGTAGGGTTCACGGGGTACAAACGTCATTTGGTCATGATTTCGTAGTGTTATTGATTGTCAAGGGAGGTGAGGTTGAGTGGAGCTTAGTCGACGAAAAAGGGCAGCAGTCGGTGTTGGTTTAGGGGTTGAAATAAAGGTTTTCAAAGTTTTGAGGGTATTTTAAAATTTTGTGTTTTTTTATTTTTATTTTTATTTTTTATTTTAAATAAAAAATTTAAAATAACCAGAACGTAACACATGTCCTTTAATTACAGAATTTAATAATAATTACAATACAAGACCTAAAGTGATAATTTTTGTAACATTAGACACTTAACTGATTCAAAATGAAAATGGACACCTATTTAAAAAAAACAATTTAGCTAGGGCACTACTTTTATAATTAAGCCAAAAATTTTGTTGAAAAGAAATATAAATATATGTAGTTTATTCTAGTCTCCTGTCCTAAGGATAGACTGAAGGGACAGGTGAGGTAGTATCATATATTTTAGATTTATATATATATATATATATTTTTATTGAAAATCAGTTTTCTCCCCTTAAAATTTTATTAGTTTAAGTTTACATCATGAAATTTTAAAATTTCAAGTTCTTTAGTTAACGTAAAATCATGTGTCTATATTTGTCTCGTCCTATAATATTATATAATATTATCCAATTAAAATTATTATTTTTTATTAAGTTAAGAAAATGAATGCTCAATTATCCTACTGCAACTGCTGGTACACAAACTTATGACTTCTAAGAACGACAATTCCTTAACCCATTGTGATAATTTAATTAGTGCAAAATTATTGTTTTCATATAATTATATATCTAACTTTTTAATACATAAACTACATAAAATTTATTTTACTATTTTATTTATTTTAATGTTATTTGACCTATACATATATAAGGTCATAGGGTTTGATATTACTTGATATAAACTATAATACTCTTTTTATTTATCAATGATTACAACAAAATTAGTCTTTTTATTTATAAAAAAAATTCGTTTGATTTTTCATATGAATTTATTTGTTCTTTCATTTGTGTTATCGGTAACTAAGAATTAATCTTTCTAATTTCTGAAATTAAAAGTTTAGCATAACGTAAACAAATCACGTAATTGCGCGTAATTCTGAGGGTATTTCATAATTCGAAGGTCTCTTACAAAAGTTGGTATCAACCTGACGTTGGGGGCAACCTACTAACTTACCTCCCTTTACCTCATTACATATGGAAATAATGGTTAATTAATTTTTTATTAACCTAAATTAAAAAAATTTAGGCTAAATTAAAATTAAATATTATCATATTTAGAACTCAAACTATTTTGAAGATAATCATGTGATTGTTAGTATAAAATTAAAATTTTAGTTTTAAAAATAAAAAATAAAATAAAATCTTAGTGATATAAGAAAACTAACTTAATTGCTCTAATAGTATAAAAATATTTAGATAAAATAATATTCATAACTTTTTCTATTATTTAAAATTTTATTGTAATATTTTTATTACCCTCTAGTTTCAGGGTTTTACTCTAATTTAGATCAACCAAATCACACATCTAGTTTTAACGAGTGATTCTATCAGCGAGAATTTTCTATATACACAAAATTTAAATATAAGATATTAATTAAGCGATATTAAATTGTTTATCACTCTAATTAATAGTTGTGATTTTTTAATAGATAATGTTGCAATCATTGAAACGCAAGATGTGGTTGTAACCATGTGAAGATGGGATGGACAAATAAATTTCTTTGAATAATTTAAAACAACTAAATATTGAAAAGATATCACAACCATTACAGCTAAATCACAAATGACACTTAATGTTTTGATTGGGTCATCTCATATTTGATCGGTGGACCAAAAGCCTTTGATGTATATTTTATTCAATTCTCGTTATATTTTAATTAAATATTTAAAATATTAATATTAATTAATTAAATTCTTTAATAATTAAGTTAAATAAAATTTGAATTTAGTTTTATCTTATTGGCGTATAGTTCATTTCTTATTTTTGTTGATTGGCGGTATTAACTTTAATGTTGGTTGTCGACCATCGATATTTTTTATTGTCTTTTTTTTAAATCATATCTTTATTTTATTTTATTTTATTATTTTCAATAAGTCTGTTTGTGTTGCACATTTTCATCTGTCTTTATAGAACGTTTGCTTATGTTTTTTGGCGTGTTTTTTCAGTTCTTGGACCTTTTTTTATTTGACGACGACTGATCAAGATGACGTTTATCTAATATATTGTTGATATTTTCTCATTTGGACCCTCAGATTGAATTTAGATGTCTGATTTGTGTTTGTGAATAACTTTTCTCGTCGCTCGAATCTGATTTATGATTTATTGTTGATCTTTCAATAGCTTGATTATTTTTATGATTCGTGTGTCGATGCGATCATATCAGTTTATTAAAAAAGTCTATGCTTATTTCACGGACAATATAGATATATTGTGTTCGTGAAGAATTATGTATTATACTTTAATAGGTTAAATCTCATTTGTTTGTGCAATAAATATATGTTTATAATTTAATCTTCATGTTTTAAAAGTATTTGAAATTTATCTTAAATTTAACTTGACACTCAATGCATGGTATAATTAGATTTATATTTACGATATTATCTTGTAACTACTTCAGATTATGTAATATAATAATAATAGTATGATTAAAAATAGCATGTAGCTGCAATTTAATTCTTGGATCGGGCAATTTAATTCTTGGATCGGATAGTCCGAAAAATTACAATTAAGCAAAGTTAGTGAGGTAAATCTAATGAAACTAATGTATTAATGAATGAAGGATACAAAGTGCAGAGCTATGTACATTCTACATAAAGACTGCCTAAAAGTTAGAACCCATCTTCAAAACCATGTATTAGTGAACTAATGATACAAGGACTCAATTTCTGACATGATTATGCATATGACAAAAAAATACATGTGCAAGTTCATGATGAGAGCCTTCGAAGTTTAGCTAACAGATCAGTGCAAACATCCTGTAATAAAATGGCGGTTTCCGGGAAGGCGTTTGTTTTAAGGCGGGGAGGGGGAGGGGGCGGCGGTTCGGGAGTTTTTTTTTATCAGCTGCCTTTTCCTCGACAACAACTGTTACAAGCGCTAGGCCAATGCCAATTGCAGCATTGCCATTGCTGTTTACAACAAGGAAAACAAGAACATTTGTCGTACCAAGACGATGATTTCGAGGGTGCTGCAGATTCGCAGGCCTTTTGTTCCTTTTCTTCTTGTTTCTGTTGTTCTTGCTGCTGTTGGCCCTCTTTTTCTTTCCTGGAAATGGCATTTCCGCCGCCATCCAAACTGCAATGATCCGATATAATTAAGTTGACAAGTTCCCTACACCATCTAAATCGTTTATGACAGTCCAAACATATGGCATTCATGGGCTAAGACGGGTGCATTAAGTCCAATATCTAGTACGTCATACATGGTTAGCATAGAGGTAACGAGAAGCATAAATTAAACAAGAGCCACGGCACCATCGTTTTACGCTACGGTTCCAACAGTAGCATGATAGCCGTGTCTTTCTCCTGCAACGAGAAAGGAGTATATTCCTCATCAGGGAAGCATGGCGAATACGTAACCGTATCAGGCTCATATTAACAAATCATAGACCCCAGGGAAAGGGGTTAAGGTATCTTCTTTCTCATAGTTCCAATACTCCATATATGGTAGGCATAGAGGTAGGGAGAGAGAGAAGCACACACGAAACAAGAGTGACAACACCATCTTTTTATGTTACGGTTCCAACAGTAGCAGAACACCCTGCTATCATCGGAAAAGTAGCATGATGGACGTGCACCCTTCTTTCTCTTGCGATGGAAAACATGTATATATTCCTTATTGTGCAAGCACTAGGCTGAAGTTTATATATGGTTATACATACATGTAAAGGTTATTCTTATACATGTATCAGGTTTACATTAACAACCACATAGACCCCAGGGAAAACATTAAGGCATCTTGTTTTGTATGGAGAAAAAGTAATACTGAGTGCACATTTTGTACCCATTCCAATTTCCACAGGCATATGTAACAAAGTGAGCATATGATGGTTAAAAGTAGGATAATTGCTGATAGAGAATGCTATTAACTTACACTGGAAAGGCAAAGGAATGTACACTGGCTCCTGTTTCAACAGAAAGACGAGAAGGGCAGGGTGAGTTCCAGAAATGAGTTGGCTTTTCCCCAGTTGGTTCTTCAGCACTTGGCCTTGTTTTATCCTTCTCGGTATAATCTGATATCTTGTCAAATTCAACACCCGTTTTGGCAGGGCACGGTGGAGATGCAGCTGGTGAAGTACTTAACGTAAATACCTCATCTTTGAAAAATTCCCCAGATTTGAAGATTAGAAACTGATCTCTGGAGAAACTAGTGTTCCCTATTTGGATGCTAAACAATGACTCGTTGGAAGTAATACTCCAATTTGCAGGATTTGATGATTTACTTCTATCAAAGACCGAAGAGGGAACCCTATAAGGATCTAATCCTTCTATGACTCTGTCCATCACTTGGATTGGAGGAGATTGTGTCGATGTTGATTCATGCATATTACTAGGAACTGGAGATTCAGATGTTGCACCAGCAGAAACATGATGTTCACCATCAGATTTAGAGTAAGAAGTCGAAGCTATGCCTGATCTGGACTCTGACGGTTCTGTATTAGCTTGAAACCGATTATCCATAGATGAACCAGTAGACCGTTCAGAGGAGATGTGTTAACTACTTTCAATTAAATCCCTCCGATTTCTATTTTCCTATCCAAGTTCTGGTTTTCTCAATGAATGTTCACTGATTCCACTCCCATGACTTTCTTCTATGCCTATTTTTGAACTCTTACTGGCTCCATTCCCATGGCCAATGTTCATAACATGAGAGGAACTAAGTGAAATCCCAAATTAGGTCTCCATTTCCAAAAAGAGTTAGGAGATTCACATTTCAACAGCTCCAAACATTGCCTAGTTGCATAAAAATCCAGAAAGGGATAAATGGAATTTTTTTTAAGAAATGCAATGCATCATATTAGTTCAGGAAAATTAATGACTCCATTCTTCAAACTGAAGCCTTCAACACCTTTTTAGTAAATTGGTGAAAACACTAACACATGCAGGAAACCGTTAAAAATTTTAAATCATATATCTGACAAAGAAATTGAATAAACTTCGCTTTTGAAAATTTGATAACATTCAACTCATTGCAATTTGATAACAATTTTCTTCAGTAAATTCATCGAACTAAAAAATTTGCTGTGCATTATTGAAGGAAAAAAAAATTAAAATTCCAAATTAACGAGCACTTTCATCATGAAGACAAGCTACAAATATCATCAAATCACTCGATCAACTGATCAAGTAATGTTAAAAACAGGAAATTTTCAAAAAAAAAAAAAAATGCAATAGAAAATCACAGAGAAATTAACAAAACTTACTTCGGAACATTAAAGCATCTGCCGAAACGAAACTCGTCGGAGGCAACCTCCGACCTCAACCGCCTTTCCGTTGTCAACAAGTATTTGAATAATTTTTTTTATATAAAAAATCAGAGATTAAAAAAAAACTCGAACAGATATTTGACAATCAAAATAACAAAGCTCCTTTTCCCGTATTGATTTGAATGTTAAAAAAATAAAGAAATTAAAATGAAAAATGAAAGAATGGTGAAGGCGGTCTTAATGGAGTAGCGCTGTTTTCTGAATTCCAGGTTTTGTTTTGTAATATTGTAACTAATTTCACTATATCTGCGTTTCGCGCCATCTTTTATCATTTTATGTATTATTTGTCTAACAATGAATTTCATCCCTCCACTTTGCAAATTTGAGAAGTTAGTCCTTCTGTTTTAATTTAGGGTAAAGTACACCAGAGCTCCCTAAAATATGCTCAAATGACCTTTTTAGTTATTTATCTTTAAAACGTTATAAAATAATTACTACGACATGTTTATGATCATAATTTAATGGTGGTTTTTCTAATTTATTACATAAAAATATTAAAATACTAAACTGAACCGTTAATACTAAACTGTTTTAGTTAACCGAACCGCTAAAAATAATAGTTAACGGTTAATGTTACGATTACGAATTTTGATAAACGGTTAACTGTTAGTAAATTAAATTTATAATTAAATTTTTATTTTTTATTATATTTTTACATAATAATTTAATATAAGTTTTATTATTTATAATTTATATATATATTTAATAAAATTTGTATACAAATAACTTAATATTTTTTTATTTTTTATTTTTTATTTGTTTGAAAATATAGAAACATACTTGCACTAATATAATTATATGTTTATTATTAGCTACTAAAATATTGGGAGATGTACATACTTACATCGGTGTAAATATGCGTTAAGTGCTATATGTTTTTATTTTATTTACTTATACCGTTGTAAGTATGTGTTAAGTGCTACACTTTTTTATTTTATTCACTTAAAGTATGTGTTAAGTGCTAAATTTGTTTATTTTATTGACTTACGTTGGTGTAAGTATACGTTAATTGCTACATTTTTTTGTAGTAAGAATTATGAAAAAATTGACAAATAATTATAATAGGTTAACATGTAATCGAACCGTTAATAACGGTTAACCGCTAATGGTTAAACGTTTCTTAATGGTTAGGTTACAGTTAAAAAAATCTCATAACTATTATAACGATTAACCGACCGTTTAGGTTAAATGATATGGTTAACTGTCCATAAACAACCCTAATGACAAGGTCTAATAATATTTTCCAGTTGAAATATTTTTTTCAATTTTCGTAGTTAAATACTGACAAATTATAGTGGAAGGACTATCACAATCTAACTTTAAAATTAAAAAAATATAAAAATAAACCCTTAATCTTTTATTTATTCAAATAACCCTTCAAACTTTAATTAGTGCCAAATAAATCCTAAGTTTTAATTTATGTAAGTTGGTAGAGCACAAGGTTCTTAACCTTGAGGTCGTGAGATCGAGTCTTACGGAGGGCATTTCATAATTCGGAGGTCTTCTACAGAAGCTGCTCTCAACTTGGTGTTGGGGACAGTCTACTATCTTACCTCCCCATTACCCCATTACATATGGGAACAAGAGACAGCCAGCCAATATTTCAATTGAAATGAGGGCCCATCTAAATACAAATAAAGAAATTCAAGCTTATTTGGGCCAAATGAAAAAAAATGTAAGGGCTTATTCAATCAAAGCAAACTAGTTGAAGGGCTCTTTTAATAGTTTAGCCATTAGACTATGTAGCAAGGGTCGTACTTGGGCAGTTATCAACAGTGCAAGCTAAGATGTCCCTGTAATCCCTGGATATTGTGAAAGAATCATAAACTTCTCCATCACTGCTCTTCTTGTATTCGAATAATAGGCGTGAGTTTTACGAATCCGAAATCGTAGTCTTTGAAGAAACTCCATGTGACGTTTAGGGCAGCGAATTCAGCAAGGGCTGCACCTCCGCCACCGGCAACCACATGTATCGTACCGTTCATGGGGCCTGTGTAATGTTGTTTCTCCTTGTTGGTGCATATGTTCTGCAGCAGCAATGATCGATCGAACGGTGAGCGATCGACAAGTTGAATTTCAAGTTAGATGACTACTTGTATTCGATTGCATACTGAAAACTGTACATATGGCAGGTACATGTATTCTCTAAGATACTAATTCAGGACGCTCAAGAAGAACATTAACGAAGACGAACACATTCGATGCAATAAAAGGCAATCGGTATGCAGATTACGTTGCTGGACTCATGCATCTGTTTTTCTTATTTTAATCTCTAAGCTACTAATGCGAATGCATGATTCGAAGTTTTTATGTCGATTAACATAAGAAAAAAGTGCATGCTTGACAGCACGATGATCATGTCATACCTGGTAAACCGGACATGTCCGCTCATAGTGGTGCGCATGGCCGTAGATGGCAATGTCAACTTTGTACTTCTGCCAAAGTTTTTGAAGGCTCTCCCTTCCCATCGGTTCCCCGAAAGATCCTGTATCAGCATAAAAAGTAGCAGAAGAATAACCCAACACTCGATGTGCAAGGAAAATCAGCCATGGTTGCTTTTGTCTGTCAACTGATGCGAGGCAGTGCTCGATGAATTCGTATTGCTCCGTCCCTTCCCTCCAATCATGCTCCGTGTCAGCTACACAGAACCGGAACATGCCGTAGTCAGTGGAGTACCTGATTGAATCGACAACTTTGAGATCAATTCCTCGGCATATCTTCAAACATGAACATATATGATATTGTCAGAAAATTCTTGTACCAGAACTTAGCCCTGTTTTCGGTAGGGACATAAAACATAGTCTCTGCTACCACTCCACATTCTCCCCCCGAATCCTTGTCTTCGTAGAAAGATCCAGATCCTGGCCAATCACGTTCATGGTTTCCGCTGAGGAAAAATAACCGATTTACGTTTAAGGCGAAGCCAAGAATATATCAATATATAAATATATACATATAGTCAGAACAAGTAGACCAGGTGAGTACTGGCAGACCTAGCAACCATGAAAGGAACGGCAGATGCAATCGGCTCGACTTGTGCGGTGAACTGGTCCCATTGTGAAAGGTATCCATTGGCATAACATATGTCTCCAATCAGAAAGATCAAGTCAATGTTATTCAAGTCTCTAATAAGCTGCTTTGTGGTGTTAAGAGAAGCATGCTGGAAATCATTGTACTCATTGGAACCATCAACTTCAGCCTGCAGTTTTTAGCGGTAACCGTTCATCAGAGACACTCGAATAGAACTTTAAGCACTTCAGCAGCATAATGGATGGAAAAATGAGGGTCGCAAATACAATGACCATTTTTTTCTGAGCATACATTGTAAGATGTTATTGAAGTCATTGATTAATGCAAGTAAAGAAACAGCTTTCTTTACTTGCACTTGAAGTTTCTAAGAAGAGTTCAAACCTTTCCCATGTCTCCGAAAATGACGACCCGTTGTAAAGAATTTTTTACAAGAATTTTGACCGGGATAAGGAGATGCTCTAAACTTGTATTCTTGACTCCAAACATACGTTCCATCCGATAAAATATGTCCAAGCCTATAGGTATACCTGCAAGTTCGATTCGTAAAGTTAAGCAGCATGCAGGAAGAACACAAGTTGATCATTTCTTTATGCATTCATGGAATACAACTAAACCAGTGCTGTATACTGATTGAATTTAAGATTAGCAAATGTTACATACAGTGTGTTGGGCCACAATTCCTTCAGAAAACTGGTGTGTATGAACCCGGGATCTCGCCATCCTACTGTTCTTGCTGGCTCACCTGAGCACATTAAAATGAAAAGTTTTTCTGGTTATTAGCGAATTGAGGAAACAGATTAACATGAAATAGTGTTAGCTTATTTTGCAAGAATTTCATTAAGAAGCCTTATGGACTAAAAGGATCCACAGAAGAAACAGATAACAAATCATATCTTGCAAAGCAAACCTCGGGTAAGTGAGTTACATACCACACATGCTGTTCCTATCAAAAGTGAGTGTTCCAGCTGGTGAACGCATCGACGGCCCTCCTTTTGGACCCCATTCAACAAAAGGTACTGCTTCACCGATCCCATATCCACTGGTCCACGTAACGGTCATCTGTGAATCGACTTTCAGTTGTGTTATACCTTCTAGTAAGTGTTAGCTTGGAAACAAATAGTAATATGCAGGTCATCTGATAAATTGCTCACAGTACTATAGAGAGAACAAAGAGTGCAATGCAATACAAATGAAAATTATTACGCTGGTATCCAACACATGCCGCACGAGTTTTCGACATTTCACATGCAAACTTGACTGAATATCGAGAGAAATCGAACTTACTTCATTCCATACTTTTCCTTGAGCTAATCGACGGTAAACCGGTGCTTTTGGATTTGGGAAAGTAACTGTATTTAACACCGCCACCACCTTTGGCTATTACATAATCAAGAAAAAGGGAAATGTAAGTAAGCAGTTAATAGGATGATCAAGATTGGAATACATTAAGCAGCCCTAGTTTTCATGTTGGATGATCATTATAAACATACATTCGAAAAACCACCAGAAAATAACGCGAAAGAGAAGTCGGATCTCTGATTAATCAACTGAAGCTTCAATGTCCCTTTTCCGGTTTCTTTATACTCTGGAGTACTGTAGTTTGCATACTGAAACTGCAAGAGGGAGTCAGCAAGGTTTAATTTCACATCACATAGATCATTCTCCATTTAAACAAAGAGCATGCATTTCATCAAAGCAGAAAACAAAATAATCATTCTACGAACCTTAATAGGCGCCGAACACAACAGCGGAGGGGTCACATGTGGATTATCAGCTGGAGCAGGACAGGAAGAAGCACTGAAATTTAGAAACGGCTTAGTTTTTGAGATCGAACGATGCATATAGTCCCACGGGAACACATTCGAAACATATGTTATACCTGAAATTGGAAGGAGAAAACACACCAATCCAATCATCAACTGATGGATGAGGAGAACTGAACTCCACTATAACCCAATCTGCATTTTGACCCTGCAACACTCATGAATGTTATATAATTAGTTTTGCAAAAAAAAAGTATCCTCAATACCTGTTAGGTGTTTGTTCACAAAATCAACTATAACAGCTTACCTTCAACCCAAGAACAGTAGGAGAGACTTTTATGTAAGCTTGATGGTTGAGAGAAAAAGTTGCCTTTTGAACAGCAATGGTTGAAAGAGGCTGATCTCCATGTGAGGCAACCACTTCGAGTGTTGCAAGAATCAATAGAATGGACAATAAAATCAAACCCAATTCCCTCATCCTAGCAAATATCTGAAACCAATCACCAAATAAAAAAAATGCATTTGAATAAGAACTGTAATGAAACAGATCCCTTGAAAGGCGTTCATAAAGCAGATTCAAACAAACAAATAAAGTAACAAGTAATGGCCAACTAGCCATTATTCTATTGAGTTTATGTGAAACAAGATAAAGTATATCCCTTTACATCGAAGTTTCAATGGGGGTACCTTAAAATACACGACAGATAATAATTGAACCTAAGACCTGACTCAACCGCTGTTTGTGATGAATCAAAAGGACGAAGCAAGTGGTAAGCAAAAGGTATGGAGAAGACAGAAGAGCACATAGATTGGCAAACCAAGAGAAAAGGTTGGCTTTTTTTTTTTTGGGAAAATAAGCATCGAATCTGTAACGGGGATATTCGAAAAGTTAGATATTAAAGCTTTCCATGTTAAGCGTTGAACTTAGATATAGCGGACAGTGGCAGCACTGCACGTGGTTCGATGACAATGGACTGTAAAGATTCTGTTTTTTCTTTATGGGTAATAATATTCCGTAGGTTTTTGTTTTTTTCCATTGAAATTTTGTTTTAGAAGTAACAAATTAGTTATTAATAGTATCAATTTATGACAAATCAACCGCTCATCGTTAACCGATGTTAGCATGGATAACGGAAAGCTTATATGACCGTTAACCACTTACCTGGAAACGTTGACCGCTATGCTGGAAAGTCCTTGATCCCATCTAGAGTACACGTTTGAAAATTTCAAAGAGGTTCTTACTCTTTCATTAGAAGAATCTTGTCGCTGCTGGAAAATTAGCTAAGGTTAAGGGTTTATTAAACTTCTGTCAGTGAAGACAACTGCTTCTGCTCGGGCAAAGAAAAAGTCGGGTGCTATCAAGGAGAAATCTAAACCTGCTGCCATGTTCGGGAAGAGTGCTAAACGGACGTATAAGACTTCAGCAGTCGTTATAAGTTGAAATGTGGATCTTCCTAGGGAATTAGAGAAGAGGCAGAAGAGTAAGAGGGAGGCATGAACCGTACAGATCAGGTCGGGGATTTTAAAAAATATTTTTTTTTAAATTATAAAAACATGAAACGTGTCACTTAACAAGGGTTTTCAACGGTCACTTAATGGGGGTTTTCAATGACCATTACATCTCGGACACCTAAAATAATAATCTTTATAACGTTATATACATAGATCATTCAAAAAATAGTTTGGACACCAATTCGTAAAAAGTGGTATAGTTCGTTCATTTATTTTATAATTAAGCATTAATTTAAAAATTAAAACTTTTTTATTTCAAAAAATAATAAAAGTTTTTGTTTGATCTCGATATATTCTGAACTCGTTTCAAGTTTTGAGTAAAAAATTATTCAAATATGACATGAATAAATTAATTTTAATTAATAAATCATTTGTGTCTTAAAACTATATATGTTATATATGGTCCCCGGATCTCCGATAATACATGTATCGAGAATTTGATGTAATGACAAATTGTTACATTGATGGAAAGAATATTCATTAAATTCGGACAAAAAATTAAACCTTAAATTCATGATATAATTAAGGCTAAATTTGCACGTAACAGCGTACGATCTTGCTTTCCGGCGACAGCCAAAACACATTGTCGTTATGAAATGATCGCCTTCGTCTTCAAACTAGAAGCAAAGTCCACAACAGCAAAAGCACTACAAAGGCAGAAGATCAAATAAAAGCAACGATCAAGTTATTTTCTTTCCCGCAATGTGGTATGAATTGTAATAGTGAAAAAATGTACAGAAAGAGTGAAGCAAACATGGGGAAGGGCTGGTGGAAGTTGGTAAACATGCACATTTTTTTCCGGCCGGAGACCATTTGTGTCTGATAGTTAAAAGGGTCTTGATCAAGCTCGGAGTCGAGTCGGGTTGGACCTTTTCCCGATACTATTTTATTCATTCATAATATTCGAACTCAGAGATTTCTTTTTCTACGATTATTCATTTACGGTACTCGAACTCGAGATCGGTGATAAACATGCATGTTTGAAAGCAAATGATGGGATTTTTGAAGATAGAAGAAAAAGTAGAAATGTATTAGAAAACACTATGCTACTGCAAAAAGGCCCTGCAAAAGGAAAACTTTTGGGGTATACCCTAATCATGTAAAGAAACACAAAAACGAAATAAGATCCGGTAAATTAAAAGCCCTGCCAAAGGAAGAATTTTGGGGTATACCTCCGATAATAGTCTTGGTTTGAATTTTGGGTTCCCATGCTCCACTCCAGGTATACCCTAATCATATCAAAAACACATAAAAAAAAGACAAGTTTCTTAACTAAATAAAGAGAATTAAAAGAAGAAATAATGAATTAAATTGATGTGCAACAGTGCAAGTTGAAACTAACCATGGCCAAAGCAATTTGTGGTAGTGTTCACACCATCTCTGCAAATGCAAGAAAATGAGTCATCCAGACCAGAAAATCCACACAAACCTCCACTGCTTTCACAGTCCTTACATGCTGTGGTATAGTAAGAATCATTATACTGCAAAGATATACCAAATTTCCACTTCATGGGATCCCCTTCATCCCCGAACTCGTAAATCGAAGAATACGACGAGCACTGGAGTTTCGGAAGATCCAAAGAGTAACCTGATCCCACTGCCATGAACGAGTCATAAACACAACATGTGGATGTAGGTGCATTTTGAGGCAAACCAATTCCATTCACCCCTTTGCAAGAGTATAAACCGGTACAAACACGAGAACCGGAACCGGTGTCGCACAAGTCCTCGCTTGGATCAAACACAGGAGACGTAGTGGAGCAACCAAGCAGGACAAAGATGTTGGAACCCGTTAGAGTGAACGGGCTCGTTCGATCTAAGCTAAAGCTTCCAGAGTTCTGCATCGAGGAGCAAGTCGACATGAGAGGGTCTGCTACCACAATGGTGCTGGCCGGGTAGTCGATGGAAGAAACGGTGTAAACGCCGGTACCGGTTGAGAATTGTAGAGTGCCGGCATTGCATTTTACATATCTAGAGAAGGAAGGGTGGCCACATCCGAATCCAGTGCCAAAGGGAAACATGACCGGGATTGTACCACATGTGTTGTTACATGTACCACGGGTCGGGATGGTGCGGCCGGGAGCATGGTCGGCAGTGGAAACTTTATCGAGTCGAGGAAGCAAAAAGAGAATGGTGAGGAAGAGAGAAGCAGCTGGTAGATTTGACATGGATAAAGGGTTTCAGATGAAGAGAGAATTACAGATGCGGCTATTGAGCTAATAGTTAAAATGATATGAGAAAGAGAAAATGGTATTCTTTTCGGTGGTAGGTAATCAAATTTCAACATTCGTCCCCTATTCCTTCCTAAAAAGAAGAGCCCCTCTTTATATGCATTCTAGCTATAAAGCAGCATGGATTTTCGTTACTATTCTGTATAATTCAAATCTTTCCCATTACCTTCCCTTAAACTACACAAAATCCTTCCTGAAACTTAAGCCCATATTGCCCTAATTAGCATACCCAACAATCAAGCTATTGTAAAGCACTCGTTTATTTGAAAATCCGAATTCAACCATCAAATTTTCTAACTTCGTCTATCTTCTTTTCAAGCCCTTTCGATGCATACAAATAGGAATGAAAACCAAAACTGGATTCATCGGCGAACACCTAACACAGTCATAGTTGTCACTACTCTTTCAGCATCGGAAACCGATTCGAGTTCATAACTACAACACTCTAGAGCAGCATTACAAGAAGCGAAATCAGGTTTCAAATAATTCAACTTTTCATTAATTGCAATCCAACAACATTCCTCAAAAACGCAACAAAGCTACCACTTTTCCTACTGATATCAACAAGCATATCACCCCACAAGCCAAAAGGGACAAAATACCTGTTTTTGAACATAGATTTTACAAGAGCAAAAGCAGGGGCGGAGGTGTTGGCAAGATTCATGGAACTCAAAAGGATGCTCAAAGTTTCGAAAGGCAGCAACTTTGGGTCCTTTTCAATCACAAAAACCAGAGGCGAATGCCCTTTTGAGATATTGGGAGTCTTTCAAACACAAGTGGGTAACAATGGAGTACACGCTCTTTCAAGAACTGTACTTGTTCAACTGTTGAAGATAGTGCTTTTCTCCACATCTCTGTGCTATATGTATTATATAAATATCTATGTATTTTGTCACTCAACGTCTGGAATAGCTCAGTTGGTTAGAGCGTGTGGCAGGAGGTTCAAGCCCTCCTTCTAACGATAAGCTTTTACGGATGATTGCAACCCCGGCAACTATATTTTTTTTTACTTCAATCTCTGTTGTAGTTTTCCCACCCTTTCTAAAGCTGGATTTTCATGTCCTACGGGCAATGATGCTAAGGTACATAATCACTTTGTGATTATGATATGATTGCAGGTTTTTATCTATCGTTCTTGATATACTGACTTTAGAACTATCAATTTACAGAAACTTTTCTTCATTTTTTCAAAGTAACTGTGTACATTATTTTTATAGCTGCTCATAGAGCTTTTCACGAACAGTGGCTTAGCTAGCTAACAGTCTTAACTAACTGATAACAACTCTAACCACCTAACCAATTCTTAACAGCTTAACTGTTTCATTATTCCCTCTGCTTCTTCTCCCTTCTTCAACAAGGCAGTACACACATCTTGTTTCTGAAGACTTCGAACGCTGCTTTAGTCAGCGGTTTAGTGAGACCATCAGCTACCTGGCAGTTGGCTGGCACATAGCAGATACACAACGCTTTGGCAGCTACCTTCTCCCTAATGAAATGGACATCCATGTCCACATGCTTCGAATGTGCATGATAGACCGGATTCATGCTCATAGCTATGTCACTTGTATTATCACACCAGATAATCGGTTCTTCACGTGGCTTGGTCCCAAGACTGCCAAGTCACGCATTAATCCAAGTTACTTATGCTGCTGTGTCTGCTATGCTGCGATACTCAGCTTCCATAGTCGATCTAGACACCGTCTTTTGCTTCCTCGAGCTCCAAACCACAGGACACTGTGTGAGGAACACCGTGTGACCAGAAACGGACCTGCGATCACTTGCATCACCACCCCAGTCTACATCAGCAAATGCTATTACCTTCAGCCCCGCTTCACTAGCCAGAAAGGTGAGACCATAGTCCAAGGTACCGGCTAAGTACCGAAGTATACGCCTGACTGCTGCCATGTGTGCCTCACAGGGAGCATGCATATATTGAGCAGCTTTGTTTACGCTAAACTCTATATCAGGTCGAGTATGGCACACGTACAGAAGTGCACCCACCAAGCTTCTGTACTCACGAGCATCACTGAGTGGCGATCCTGCATCATGAACTAGTTTTGTCGACCCAACCATAGGGGTTGTAGTAGGGGTAGCATGCAACATATCCACCCTCTCTAGTAACTCAAGAACATATTTCTTTTGTGACAACACTAGTTTGCCAGTGGTTCTCATAACTTCTATACCTAGAAAGAAGCTCAGCTCTCCTAGGTCCTTGAGAGAAAAATCCTCCTGCAAAAGTCGAATCACTCCCTCAATATCATCTGTGCTCTCACCAGTAATAATTATATCATCCACGTAAACTAAAACAAGTGTATAGCAACCACTTCCACACTTCACAAAGAGTGAAACATCAGCCAAGGATTCAACAAACCCCATCCGCTCAAGGCTCGCCTTAAGCTTGTCATGCCAATTTCTAGGCGCCTGGCGAAGACCATACAAAACCTTGTGTAGTTTACACACAAGTGGTGATCCATCTACAGCCACTTCTTCAAATCTTGGGGGCTGTTGCATGAAAACTTCCTCAGCCAACTCTCCATTTAAAAACGCGTTATTCACATCAACTTGACGCAGCAGCCAATTCCTACTGACAGCCAACGAAAGCACTACATTCAGCGTTGTAAACTTCACGACTGGACTGAATGTGTCCTTAAAGTCATAGCCAGGGACTTGCGAGTATCTTTTGGCAACTAAGCTTTATACCGTTGAATAGACCCATTCGGATTCTTCTTTATCATGAAAAGCCATTTGCAACCAACAACATCACGTCCTTTGGGTACAGGTACTAAGGACCAAGTCTTATTTCCTTGTAGGGCATCGAGTTCTGCCTGAATTGCTGCTCTCCAACTTGAAGACTGTAATGCAGCTCGAATACTGGTAGGGGTTGAGTCATCGAAGAAGCTAGTGTATGTTTTTGGCTTAAATATACCACACTTACTACGTGTAAGCATTGAATGTTTATTCCCGAGTACACCTTCAGCAGGCTATTCTTGAGTAGATGCAGATGTACTGGCAGCAGCCCGACTGGAACTATTCTGCACCTGACTGGTCATATGGGTGACAGAATTTTCATTGTCACTAACCAAAGCAGGACTTGCCACTCTTGACGCAGCAGAATGCTCATCATCCAGACTTGCAACTCTCGATGTAACTAGATGCTCATCATCCGGACTTGCAGCTCTCGATGCAGCAGGATGCTCATCACCCGGGCTTGCAGCTCTCGATGCTCCAACATGTTCATCAACTGCGCCTGTTCCAGTTGAGAGAACCCTCTCGCTGTTTATTTCATCACGTCCCACATCCATTAAGGTAGCGTCGCCATGTGCACCGAATTTTCCTAGATTGGTAATCACTTCTAGAGGCAGTAGTTGTGGACTGATTTTGTGAGCTGAGGAACTTGTATGAGTAGGGCCTGCAAAAGGAAAATTTAGCTCATTAAAAATCACATGTCGAGACACATATATACGGCCATTGGGTGCAAGGCATTGGAAACCCTTGTGGTGAGGACTATAGCCAAGAAAGACACACGATTGCGATCGAAAGTCAAGCTTATGTTTCAAGAAAGGTCTCAAGTGTGGAAAGCACTGACAACCAAACACTTTCAGCCCCTCATATTCAGGTCTCTTGCCAAAAAATTTCTCAAATGGTGACTTCCCTTGTAACACTCTTGTTGGTAGTCTATTGATTAAGTGCACTGCAGTAACGACTGCATATGACCAGAAACGTATTGGCATAGACGCCTGAGCAAGAAGGACAAGTGCAAGCTCGATGATATGCCGATGCTTGCGTTCCACCACACCATTTTGTTCAGACGTGTGTGGACAAGTCACACGATGCAAAATACCTTCCTTAACCAACGAGGCTGACAGCCTCTTGTATTCTCCTCCCCAGTCACTCTGGACTGCTTTAATGGGTAAGTTGAATTGGTTCTTGACCATTTTCTGAAACAAGCCAAACGCAACGACGACTTCTGACTTGTCTTTCAACAGATAAAGCCACGAGTGTCTAGTACTCGCATCAATAAAGGTGACATAGTACTTAAAGCCATTTGAGGTTACTGGTGCTGGTCCCATAAGTCTGTAAACACGAGCTGAAAATGAGTATCATACACAGTGTTCGAATTGTGAAATGGTAGTTTATGACTCTTCCCCATTTGACAAGCAGGACACGTTTTATTCATTGACCTTGAAATGTTTACATTCAATTCTTTACAAATTTTTAGTAAACTATCATGAGAGGGGTGGCCCAACCGTCGATGCCAAAGTTCGTAGGAGTCAAGTGAAGCAGCCATGGAACTAGCTTCTTCAGCAACTAGAGATGTCACTTGAGGATCAGCAGTAAACGAATACAAACCACCTTCTTCTTTTCCACGAAGCAAGACAGTCCCAGACTCTTCATCACGAACGCAACACTCATGTGCATGAAATTCAAAGAAGGCATTGTTGTCCCTAGCAAGCTTCGAAACAGACAAGAGGTTCTTAGTTATCCTAGGAACATGCAACAAGTCGTTTAATAGTAAGGCTCTAGAAGATGAGCATAAGATAGAGTTACCAACTGCCTTGATGTCTAAGGCTACTCCATTGCCAACTACCAACTTACCTGGACTGTTGTAGTCATTTCTATGACTAAGGACTGTTCCATCTGGGGTGACATGATGGGTGGCACCTGAGTCCACCACCCATCGTTCGCGATTTGTTGTCGAGGTAAGCGCTTGAGGTCGTGTATCAATTTGAGACCCGCTGTTTTGAACACAACAACTTTCACACTCAGCAGGCTTAGTTTCATATGCAGAGTAATGTGCATCTGCAGGCTGGTCCTTTGAATACGACTTACTACCAGCTGTAACCCCAGGGAAGTCATGATCAAAACGATACCAACAGGTGTCTACAAGGTGGCCATTTTTACCACAGAGCTGGCACTGTATATAACGACCACGACCTCTGCCTCTACCACCAGTCCTTCCATCAGAACTAGTCGATGGTCGAGAAGGCTTACGATCGTAATAGTTGTTAGAGACGGATGACTTGTTTGAACCTGTCCCTTGAGCAATGTTAGCACTTATTGGCAACACTTCAGGTTGATCACCAAAGCCAGCTAACTGGGTTTCTGCATCCAGTAGCATCCTGTACACTATGTCAGGAGTTAGGGCTTCACGTGTGGTTGTTATGACTGCAACAAACGGCTGGTACTCTCGAGGAAGGCCTTTTAGTATGCTGGCAACATGTTCAGCTTGGGACACGACACTGCCACACGACTGCAAGGCATCACACACTTCTTTTACACGTGTGATATATACTCTCATCGAGTCATCCCCTTTCTTGAGAGGCTGCAGTTTATAGTGTAAGCTTATAACAGCAGTTGTGGATCTGTTCCCAAAGAACTGAAGCACCGTGGACCAGACTGATGACGCCGACTCAGCACCCACAAACTGAGGCAGAAGCTGCGAGCTAATCGTGGAGAGCAACCACGACGCAAGGGCGCTGTCTTGAGCGACAAATTCTTCAAACAGCTCATTGGGCAAGACTTCTCCATCATCGCTAACTATGGTCTCTGGCAGAGACCTCATCGTTCCCATCAAGAATCGCTCAAGGCGATGGTTGCGAACTGTCAGCAAGATTTGTTGTTTCCAGAGCAAGAAGTTCGTTTCGTCAAGAACTACGTTCATTTTTTTTATTGGAGAACGCTTTAGTGCTTCTTGTGGTGAACTCCATGGCTGGAGAAGACGCATCGCTATTGAACATGATGAGCAGCAAACAACGCTAGTCACAGTTGAGAGAAGAGCCTTTTACACAGCGGAAACAAGAAACCTTTGCCCAGGAAATTTAGCGAATGATACGATCTTGATATACTGACTTTAGAACTATCAATTTACAGAAACTTTTCTTCATTTTTTCAAAGTAACTGTGTACATTGTTTTTATAGCTGCTCATAGAGCTTTTCACGAACAGTGGTTTAGCTAGCTAACAGTTTTAACTAACTGATAACAACTCTAACCACCTAATCAATTCTTAACAGCTTAACTGTTTCATTAATCGTCTATGCGTACGATTTGAAAAAAAAATATTATGTCATGTGGATATCTTTTCGAATGTCTGTTGAAATACACTATATGAAAAAATGGTTTTAGAATACCATGATTTTTCTTTGAAATGATATTTGGGCAATTTTACCTCTTAATTACAATGATCTTTATAAAAATGATAAAAGATTATGATTATAATATAAATTTTTAAAAATTATTAGCAAAAGTAAAAATACATTAAAGTTCAGCCGACCATAAATATAGTTGACCATAATCTTAAGGGTTGTCACAATCAGCTCTATCTTTTACCATCCCAACCCAAATATGATATAAATAGTATAACATCATATTCAAAATTTCATAATATCTGGGGAAAAAAGCTGCTTTATCCACATCATGATCGAAAAGTACACAAAACTTGAGGGGCCAAACCAAAATTACCACATAATTTTTTTTAGATAATTTTAATTTTATTACCCAGAGATTATCTACTTCTTTTCTTTTTGGTTTATGCCATGTGAATCAGATTTCCACACAGCAGCCTGACTGGACAAACCCAGAAAACTCATCGGGCGAACTGATTTTCTCCAGTTTACCATTTCGTCCTCCCGTAATTTCCACCATGTAGGACCCATGAGGTCCACCCTGGTACTCCGACCCCGTAACCAGGACCCGGTCACCAAGCGTAATCCCGCGCGATCCGACCCGAACGGCAGGGTCCAGCTCCGCCCAGTTCATCAGTTCCCCGCCTTTTCCTATCCCTACACTCGATCTCGGACACCGACCCGGTTCCCAAACCTCTTCGGCCGCCCTCCATTGACCCGACTTGAACGCGAAAACATCAGCACTCCCGTCGAACTGACCTTGCCTCTCCGTACCGTACCCACTCACAACCCAGAACTCGTCCTCCCCGATCACCACGCCCTCACACTCGTCTCGCTCTTTACTCAGGTCACCCATCTGAGTCCACTCGTCGTTTCTCAAATCATAAGCCCACGCCGTTTTCAACGCGTTCTTGTTCTCGTCATGTCCGCCTGCTATATAGACCCGACCCGAACATGCTCCGATCGCAAAGAACGACCTCTTCGACGGCATATCCTTCCCTTGTCTCCATTGTTGAGTCGTGAAATCGTAGATGAAAACATCAGTGACCGGGTCGTAACTCACTGGGTTCCACCCGCCCATCACCACAAGCTTCCCCTCACAGCTTGCTAATTGACAAAACAAAGGTAAACCATCTGAGTATTTGGGAACAGGGGGAAGCTTGTACCAGCATCGATTCACCGATTCAACCACGGCAACCCCATAACTCGGTAACTCACCGGGCCTTTTATGTCCGTTCCCGATTCCACCGTTAAAGGCTTGAACTAAGCAAGCGGCTTTAAGAGTGTACCCTAATTTCTTCCGATGGTAATAAAATTCCTGGCTTTGGAGCAAATCCCGCCATCGGTGACAGACTCGGAAGGCAACTCTGTGAGCTGTACAAGGCAACCGCGCTAAGCACTCGAGACCGAGTTCACTGGGTAAACCAGGGACCAACTCTGATGAAAAATCATAACTTTGCATTTCTTAAGCTTCTAGAAGGTTTGCAATGCTTGCAAACCGAACTGCATCCACATCTGATTTATAAGAGACGATTGGATAACAGACAAAGTTCATGGACACGTGTACGTTGCACCGAATTTCTGTACAACTTGATCTAATCTCTTTATTATTATTATTTTAAATACAACTTTATTAATAAAAAAAATAAAAATATAATGCATCACAATAAATAAATAAATTTGGAGACAACAGTTATCAAAATACTTATATAAAAAGTAAATGATAAACTTAAAAATATAAAGAAAATTAAAAGCTTTCATTAAGAATGAAGACCAATGTCAAAATCCAATAATCTTCTTACAAACTTCTTATCTATGTGGAATGAAACGCTTGACGAAGTGATAAAGGAGTGGAGAGCGAACCAAATAATTCGGCAGGTTGTTTCGTTGCATAATTCTGATTACATCTGCAAATAACATTTTATTAAAAGAAAGAGATATAATTCTACGTAACTACCGACTAACTATTCAAAAAATAAATGTCATGATAGTTTTTATATGAGAATCAAAACGACCGCAAAAGTACATAAAAAACATACCAAAAATCATGAATATCGTGCCACAAGAGCAAACGAAACATGTGCCACAAAAATAAAGAAAAATCATATTTTAACTATATAAATTTTTATTTAAAATTAAAAAGACTAAAAAAATATAAAATACATAAATAAAAAAACAAAAAGGCTAATATTTACTGGGGATAGTAACTAATATTAAAATTAATATCGTTACTAAAAAAACCGATAAAAATATTGAAAGGAAATGCGGAGATTTGTGTTTAAGTTGAAGAGATTGGCTATTTTTATTGCTTGTTAAATAGTAATGCAGATAAGTATGAAGATAGTCTTACACTTAGGTGATGTTTGTTTTCACTGTGTAAGCTCTTCAAATCATTTATGTCTGCGTCGTGCAGACCACGTGCAGACATTAGGTTTCGCAGACTGTTTCTTTTTTAGAAGACAGAAGCTCTTTGAAGACACTCAATTTTGACTTTTGTATTAATATTATTATATTATACAATTATACATATATAATTACTAATTTTATTATTTAAATGGTACAGGCCCAATACCCCAGAAATAAGCAGGCCCAGCTGTACACAACCCAAACACGTGAGTCCAAACGTGTAGGGTTTCCAGAAACCCTAAACTTATGCTCCCAACCGCCAGTAACTGTGACCGTTGGATCTAGATGAGATCCAACGGTCCACAACAAAAGATGCCTAGGGTTGTCTCAAACCCTAGCCTCGTCAGCGCCGCATGGCCGAGAGTCCCACGCCTCCCGACTCTCCCTCCGAGTTTCACGGTGCACGTCTCTCACCTCCAACAGCTCCGAAGCATCCGGCGAACGAAACCCATTCATCACCAACAAACACAAACAGATTGCATTAGTGTTTTATTCGGTTGTAAATACCTAAAAATAGGATTTTTATTTCTATAAATATATGTAATCAGAACCCAAAGGGGGGGATATACACGAAATACGCACAGAAATTCACAATAGCAACCAAAAAGAAGGTCCAAGCACTTGTAGAACATTTCGAAAAGGAAATAAAGGAGGTAGTTTTTTTTTACCTTGTTCTTTTCTTCTACTCCCTTGCATGTTGTTTTTCCATTGTCATTTGGTGCGAATCGAACCCAAAAATCACTTTTTGGCCGATGAACAGGGAGGGCCAACGAGATCTACCTTTTTAGATCTAGCCTTCCCGAGGCCGTTTTTGAAAAGATCTTTCGTGGGGGAAGGAAAAGCTTTTAAAAAAAAAACCAAAAATTTCAATGTTCGCCGCCGATGAACGGTGGCCGACACCGATCAGCGGCGGCCGGCGTGGTGGCTAATGGCCGGTTTCTGGGAATTTCCGCCGTTGTTCTTTATTTCGAAGAACATGGGAGAGAAACAGAGAGAAAGAGTTTAGCGTTTTTAAAAAAAATGAGAGCAAATGAAAAATCAAAAAATTGTTTGGCTTAAATACTGAAACCATTTGACCTGCGCGACCCGACCCAGTAACTCTCAGGGTCCGCGTGTTTTCATGAAAAGAGAAGAAATTCTGTTTTGGTCGTCATAGTTCTGAAAACTTTTATTTTGGCCCCAATTTCTCTGTAAATCGAACTCTAATTCCGATTTTCTTTCAATTTTGCCACCTAACATTATGTTTCGGCTTTATTTTAGTCTTTCTTTTATATTTGGTATAATTATCGTGTGTTCCTTTATATTTATGTTCAGTTCATTTTAGTCCTAAGCTTTATTTAAGGGTTATTTACATTTAGGGTATCTGAATTATTTAACATTTGTGATATGGCTTTAGTTTATGTTATAATTAATGTTTGATTCTTCTGTTTTCTCTTGATACCATTTTAGTCCTTGAATTTCTGTTTTTGACATTTGAGTCCTCTATCCTTTTTGTTTTTGCTATTTTGATCTTTTACATTTTTATTTATTCATTTATTTATTTCATATATATTTCTTTAATTTTAATATTTTTTATTTCTTTTAAATTTGTTTTATATATATATATATAGTTTTTTTTACACTCTTTTATTTTTTTTTTAAAAAGACTGAATATTTTTCAATTTTATTTATTTATTTTTATTAACATTTTTTATTTATTTTCTCACTTCAAGTTATTTAATATTTATTTATCATTTGTTATCTAGCGTTCTTACTCATTTTTAGAGAAATTTCAACCAATCAGGGGTAAGTTTTGGATCATTATTTTACCTTTCAATTTAAACTTTCAACTTTCTTAATTAAAGACAATTGGAAATTACATAGTACCGAAAGGGCGGTTCAAGGGTGCTAATCCTTCCTTGACCGTAACCGACTCCCGAATTTGACATATCACTGGTAAGACGCAGATCAGGTAAGAAATAAGGTATCCGATCAACCCACTTTTCGTAAAGTAAATGATCGGTGGCGACTCCCAATCCATTTTTCACGTCGAAGCCCAATTCCGGGGCCCAACCCGAAAGACGGTTGCGACAGCTTGGCGACTCCGCTGGGGACACAGGTAAGTGAGTCAGGCTAAGGTAATTTCCAGTTGTCTTTTTAATGAAAGAGGTAAGTTTAAATTTTAAGGTAACATTTCGATCCTTATTACTTACTTTTGATTATATTTTCGAGTAAATAGTTGGACTAATCGTTTTCTCATGATTTCAGTCTTCAAAGTTCTTTTCATCTAAGGCTCTAGACCCGAGCTCCAAACCCTGTTTTAAGTAGGGGTGAAAGCGACGCCTTCGTGTGAATTTATTCACCGTACGGGCCTAGCAAGTAGCCTTCGGGATTCATATACCTTATGTCTTCGAGTGAATTTATTCACCGTGCGGGCATAAGGGAATGTGTCCTCTCGAGTTTAACTTAGTCCATACAAGCCTGTGATGGGTTTAGGACTAAGGGTCTGGCAAGCCCAAGGGGGCACCGGCAAGGAGAACTCGGGTACCGTTTTTAAAACCTAAACCGAGAGACCATGAGGAATTAGAGCCTACCCCAAAACCACGTTCCAAAACCTAGGATATTTTTACCCTAACCATGTTTTTTTTGTGTTTTTTTCTTCCGTCATTTTTTTTTATTTGTATTTTTATTTTACTAACGTTTTTGCCTTTGTGTTTGTTTTCTAGCATTTGCATCATTACAAGAGGCTATTAATCCCTAAAAAGCGTTTGTTATACACAAAATAATTCGAATTAATGGACAAAGGTGTTGTAATACAAGAGATTAAAAACGCTGAGGCTCGACTATGGTCCGAGAAGATTCAGAAAGAGAAGGGAGATAGTCTTCAAGGGAACTATGTGTCAGAGCTGGTTAGTTACGCCGCTGTCAGCCTGAAACAAAATGATGTCCAAGAACTGCAAAACATTTGGGACAGTTGAAAGAATGACAGAAAGCAGAAGTTCAGCCAACGATATGGTGATATCGCCCTCTTGCTCCATGTCAAGACTGATGAGCCCCTGCTCCGAGCATTAATTCAATTCTGGAACCCGGGATATAGTTGCTTCACCTTTAACCGGGAAGACATGGTGCCTACTATCGAAGAGTATACTACCCTATTGCACTGCGAAGGCATCAAACTAGAGAGAGCATATATCAAACACATCAAGAGTCAGCCCTTCAAGAACGGACTGGCCAAGATTGTAGGGGTTGATGAAAAGTGGGTAACTGATCGACTCCGGCACAAAGGTAGCGGGGAAGGAATCGAGTGGATCCACATAAAGCAACTAATGAAAAACCACCCTGATGAGTGGAAGACTATAGACCTTTTTGCACTGGGTCTGTATGGTTTGATTATCTTTCTGAAGGCTGTGGGGTGCATTGACGCTGCCGTGGTGGAACTGTTTGAGCAACTCTCGAAACGATTTAACCCAGCACCAGCCATCTTGGCCGAGACCTTTCGATCTCTCAACCATTGCCGAAGAACTGGCGGAGGAAGATTCACCGGGTGTATGCAGCTCCTTCAGGTCTGGATTTACAGCTACTTCTAGAAGACTAACGGGGTTGCCTACCACCGTTTCAACACCACCTATTCACCTATAGGTGAGTTCATCACCTTGAAATGGCATGAAGGCGCTTCGAAGGAAAAATGGATGAAGGTCTTTACGCATCTTCAGGACCGGGATATTGTCTGGAGAGCCCCCTGGTTATTCCTCAGCGATGTTCTTTTCTGATGTGGTGATTCTGACACTGTGACCTTACTTGGACTTTGGGGAGCAGTCGGGTATGCTCCGTTATTAGCACTTAGACAATATGGGGCACGTCAGTTTGTCCCAGCAACATACGGATTAGCTAGGTCAGAGTTTGAGTATCACGGTGACAGCTATAAGAAGATGATCAAAGAAGCAGCCGATTCATGGAGGAAAGTATTCCGGATGGATGTTGTAGCTGCCAGAAGCATGCTCACCTCGGATTATGAGGAGTGAAGAAGGTTGAGGAAAAATGACAATATTCCAATGCCAGACTATGAGGACACCCGTACCATGGAGGAACATCTCAGGCA